CACTCCCTATAGATTTAGCCACTACGGCAGTAACTTCAACAAGTTTCCGCTTCTTCAGTCTTCCAACATTGTTGTCCAAAGCAGTCTGCATTTGGACAAAAAACAGAGACAACTGCTTTCTGTGCATCCCAAAACTATCCTTAAGTCTTCTGATCCCATGGCTTCTCACTTTACTCACTATACTTAGACTGTTATTTAAACAACTATTTTACATAAAGATCTGGACGTTAATGAAAGGTGAGAGATACTCCAAATGACCACCTGATGCATCTACTCACACAGTCTGATACATCAAGTTACTACCGGCTTTACTCATTTTAACTTCACCCAAAGTCAAATCAGTTGAACACAAGAAGGTTGTTCTGTTTTAACTAAGATGCCTGGAATTTAAAAACTTCATCGTCATTGTCGTTTAGCCATGTCTGACTCTTCGTGACCCCATGGACTCTTCACAGCCAGCAAATTCAAATATAAGCCAAAATCACTTAACCTCCATATAAAGCCAAATTAACTGATGTGCTACTAGGAGATAAACCATGATGCAGCCTTCAGAAATTTGTTTTAAAAGTAACTTTATAAAATCTGTTCAATGATAGATTATTTCTATTTTGCAAGCTCTTCCTAAATTCAACTTTCCAAAGTAAGTTTGTAACAACAAATAGAGTTAAGATTATTTAAAACAGCAATAAGACTAAAGTTCATATATAAAGCACAATGCTATAAGATGTACCATCAAATATAGGCATCTCATTTGAAATACGGACATATACCTGTATGCATGTGTACACCGACCCCCACCTATAAACACACTTGAAGGCACAAGGGTAGAAAGCAGAGTAATTTATATCCCAGAATGACAGCTGGCAGGTTCCCAACAGTTTGTCCAAGCCATATTAAAAAAATCAGTCGTTTCGCCCACAAGCAAGAATAAAGGGAAGGAGAGGAAGATAAACCAAGAAATGATAAAGACACCTGGGGAAAAACAACCACATAAAATACTATGTAGAAAGAAAGAAAGAAAAGATGTACAGGAAAGCAAAGACTGTCCAAGAAGAGTAACAGGAAGATTACCACTGACTTTTACAAACTCAAACAGGGATACACTAACTCTACTGAGATGCTAAGAATAGATTACCTAGTACTGTAGTTAACAAAGATATTTCTGTACCTGCTAAATATTTCTATTTGCACATAGGCTTTTTAGAAAATGTCTTATAATCCTCAAAACAGTGGTGGTCATCAATAAGCATTCTGTCCAGAAATTCTAATCTTCTCAAAAGAAATAAGGAGGCATAAATATGTATGTCAAGAAGTAGCAGAAAAGGAGGTAGTCCAGGGCAAGGAATTAAGGACAGACAGGAATGCAGAGTAGGCATAAGGATGCTGCTCCGGGGCTTACAGAAGCTGAAGAACATGGGGATAGTGAGCACCAGTAAGGGCTGAGGGATGAAGACTGTCAAGGACTAGTTGGAGCTTCGGGAGGAGACAGATCCCGGAGAGAGTCCCAGTGGGCCAGCAATGAAACAGAAAAGCAGGGATGGGGGACGGAATGGTCCCAAAGGACAGAAAGAGAACCTGACAGAAGAAGAGCAAGGAGATCCAAGTGAAGGACAGAGAGTACTTAGGCAACAACAGAGTGCCAACCTGCAGAACCTCTGAAGTTGCATAAAGAGGCAAGAGGGAAATGTTGGATAGAAAATGTGAAATGCTGCTAGAGCTGCTTCAAGAAATCACATGGAAGTTGGCCAGTCTGGAAAAAGAAAAAAAAGAACAGAAAAAGCAGCAGACAAGGTGGAGAAGATTACTAAGTGATAAACTACCCTGGGGGATGATGCTGCTACTATTACTTGATCAAAGGCTGATCAACTGCTGGACTAAAAAAAGGTACAGTATTAATTGTGCATCTTGGCTTTCCTGGATTGTTTTCTGTTCTCTCCCCTTAGGGTCGATCTGATATGTGAAATATGTGCATTGAGGGAATGGAGGGGTGTGTGTCAAAGCTGTCAGCATCCCTCACTTCCCAAAGTACATTCCCCCCAACTTTCTGGAAAAATTAACTTGGAATTCAGTCTCCTACAAGGATCAAATGTCAGAAAACAGAGCCAACAGAGTCCATCATAAAGAACGCCTTCCCACAGAGACATCGGCTAGAAAGGCAGAGCAAAGACAACGAAGTGTTCTGCGCTGGTACCTGTGGCAGAAGGCAGGTATGACCCAGGAGGGAAGCAGGGCATAAGGTGCCCCCCTCCGGGCTCAGCCCCAGACCAAAGGATAACTCGGCGGAGGGGTGGCTTCGGCATGTACACACATCCTGGATGGTGCTGAGGGACAGGGCAGCTTCCAGGGCCAGAACCCGCGATCGGCACTTATTACTCCCCTTTAAAGAGTCATCGGGAACGGGACACCCGCCCGGGGAGAAGGGCTGTAATGGCAGTCATGGCCATGGCTGCAGGAAAGGCACAGCACCCAGCTGGAGAGCCGCCTCGAGGAGGGAGGCACGGCTCGCCACGCAAGGAAGAGGCAAAGGGCGAAGCCTGTGAGGGAATGCAGGGAAGGAGCGTGGAAGGCAGGCGCCTCG